AAGAAATAAAAGACTTCCTAGAATTCAATGAAAATGAAGACACAATATACCAAAACCTATGGAACAATAGGAAAGCAGTGTTAAGAGGAAACTTCATAGCTCTTAGTGCCTACATAAAGTATAGAAAACTTACACTAGTGACTTAACATCAAACCTGAAACTGTAGAACAAAAAGAAGCAGACTCACCTGGGAGGAGTAGAAGACAGGGAATAATAAAATTGAGGGCTGAAATCAACAAAATAGAAACAAAAACATACAAAGAATGAATGAAACAAAAAGCTGGTTCTTAGATAAAATCAACAAGATAGACAACCACTTATCCAAACTAATCAAAAGGCAGAGAGAGAACATCTAAATTAATAAAATAAGTAATGAAAATGGGGACATAACAACAGACATTGAGAAAAACCATAGAATCATTAGGTCATACTACAGAAACCTGTATTTCACAAAATTGGAAAATATAAAATGAATGGACAATTTTCTGGATAGGTACCACATACCAAAAATTAAAACATAGCAGGTGTACAATTTAAATAGACCTATACATGCAAGGAAATAGAAGCAGTCATCAAAAGCATCCTAAGTTAGTAAAAACACAGAAAAAGATGGCTTAAGTGCAGAGTTCTACCAGAACTTCAAAGAAGAGCTAATATCTACACTCCTCATGAGCAATAGAGGAGAGGATACCAGAACTGCTCATAGTATGGAGGCTGCTAGTTAGTTCCCAACTACTTAACCATGAAATAACCACCCGGATACTATATTAATTAAACCACTGGCCAATTAGCTCTAGCTTCTTATTGGCTCACTTTTATATATTAGTCAAACCCATCTCTATTAATCTGTGTATAGCCACATGGTTTTGGCTTACTGGGTAAAGGTCACATCTTCTATCTCCCTCTGAACATGAGTGACAGTTTTATAACTGGGCCAGAGTGTGTGGCCACTGGTAGTGGCACCAGGACTTACCTCTACTGCTTGTACTGACTTTTTACGAACCTATTCTCTTTGGATGGATACCTTGCTCAGATGAGATATAGCATGGTGGGCATTAGACCTTTCCTGAAACATTCTGCCTTACCCTCTCTGGAGAATGAGTGAGAATGAGTTTGAGGGAGGGGTGAAGGAAATGGGTGGTGGGAAGGGAGAGGGAACTGGGATTGGTATGTAAATTGAAAAAAAAAAAGATAGTTTGTTTCTTTTTAAAAAATTTATTTATTTATTAAAGATTTCTGTCTCTTCCCCGACACCGCCTCCCATTTCCCTCCCCCTCCCCCGATCAAGTCCCCCTCCCTCGTAAGACCAAAGAGCAATCAGGGTTTCCTGCCATGTGGGAAGTCCAAGGACCACCCACCTCCATCCAGGTCTAGTAAAGTAAGCATCCAAACTGCCTAGGCTCTCACAAAGCCAGTACGTGCAGTAGGATCTAAGTGCTCTTTGGGCTGACGAGGGAGGGGGGGGGAGGGAGAGGGAAATGGGAGGCGTCGGTGGGGAAGAGACAGAAATCTTTAATAAATAAATAAATAAACAAATTAAAAAAACATTGCCATTGTTCTTGAGTTCTCAGTAGTCCTCATTGTCCGCTATGTTTGGAAAGTCCGGTTTTATCCCAGGCTTTTTCAGACCCAGGCCAGCTGGCCTTGGTGAGTTCCCGATAGAACATCCCCATTATCTCAGTGTGTGGGTGATCCTAGAGAAGCAAAATAAGGTGAACCCAAAGAAAAACATATAGGCATCCTCCTGAATATTATCCTTCATCAGGCGATGAAAGGAGACAGAGACAGAGACCCACATTGGAGCACCGGACAGAAATCTCAAGGTCCAAATCAGGAGCAGGAGAGAGAGCACAAACAAGGAACTCAGGACCTCGAGGGGTGCACCCACACACTGAGTTTGTTTCTTTTTTAAAAGAAACATAAAATAAATTTAAAAATAGAAAAACACAAAAAAAGAAAAGAAACACATTATAGAAGTATTTTGGTTTCTTAGAAAACTGGAAATGATCTACATCAAGATACAAATATAGCACTTTTAGGCATATACCCATAGGACTCTATATTCTAGTAGAGTGATTCTCTTTATTCAGGTTCATGGCTGCAGTATTTACAATATAAATCTGTCAGAAACAACCTATATTTCCAACAATTACTGAATGAATAATAAAAATATGCTATATTTACACAACAGAATATTGTTTAGCTAGTATGTAAAAATGAAAGTATGAAGTCTTAGGTAAACTGATTGAGATAGAGAAAAATATTCCTGTGTTGTATGACCCAGACACCAAGAGATAAATACTATATTTTCTCTTTTATGTGGAAGGCAACATTTAAGCTTCCAATCTGTGTGCTACAACCTGGATATCCCCAGAAGTCAGATATCTTGTAAGGGACCAGAGAGAAGTAAAGGATTTCCCACCTCAAAAAGGAACTAGAATATAGTGTTTTGGAGAGTAAGATGGGTACCTACGATAGGAGGATGAAAGATGTGGGCCTGGGATAAAAGGATAAGATTGGTGTATAAAGAAAGACAACTAACACTAATAGCTTTTTTAAAAGCCTATGGAAATTTATTATTGTAAAAGTGTCCTAAAATGTATACACATATGAAAGGAGTCTAAATGGAGTCAACATATAATGCAGGAATGACATCACAACTAGACATTTTATGCCACAAAGTTAAGTCTGCTGGGTCAATAATGGGTCATATTTTCCTGGCTCCTTGGGCAAAGGAATTCTTGAATATCAGAAAATCATGCCAAAGCTATTGGATGTTTTATAAAGATTGATGCTAATGCCATATTGTTGGTGACAACACTTTCCAATCTCATCTAGCATGTACAAGTTGAACTGGTGCCTAACCAGAATCTTCACTCCTATTCACTTACAGTCAGGATGCTAAAACGTACTCTTCACACTCCCTGAGGAGAAAGGAAATTTCTACTACCTCCTAGATATAAACTGGAACTTACAAAGGTAACCTGTGTGCAGAATAGACTGGTACAATACTGGGAAAAATGTTATGGTATTAACCAACAATTCTGATTGGACTTAAGGATCACTGTACAAGTTGGAACCCATCCATGACACTGATAATATGCCAAAGGTCCTGGTCAGAGGCCTAGTAGAAACTTTAATATTATTATTATGATAGAGGGAGATGGTAATAAAATGACTCCTACTGACATACAATTATTCCAAATGATTAGTGCCATGCTCAAATGCCACCACAGAAACAGTAGATAGAAATCAACATGGAGACCTAAAACTACATTTTGCATTGAGTGTGAGCACCTTTGAAGTACTCAACATTAAATGGGATGCTTTCATCAAACTGCTCATCCCAAGTATCAAGAATCTATGTAGAAGAAGGTGCAGAAAGACTGCAACAGTCACATGGGGATGACTCCAAAGAAGCTGTGACTTCCCAAATCTATGAAACTGATACAATATGAAGTTACGTATACTGTGACAGCTCACACAGGCCTGCAAAGGTCCAAGGCATACAGGGTACTAGCATTGGGGAATTAAAGTTAACAAGGAACCCCATTCCTAACCAAGAAGGTATTTGAAATTGATACTAGTGGGAAACAGTTTTCACTAATATGTATAACTGGTGCATCAGCACATTCAGGACAGGTAACACCAGACATCTGATATTTAACAAGATACTGTGAGAGAGGAGTGAAAAAGACAGAGGCCTCTCTTCTGAGGGGGCATGAGAGATTGGGAATACATATGGAATGAACAACCTTTCCCCCACTGTTCCATGGGTTGTGTCTCCTCTGCTTCTGCGAAACCATATATAGTTCTGCCCACTTAAGAATAGTTCATTTTTGTCAGGCCCTGCATTCTTGGGTGGATAAGGGAGAACAGGGAGTACCATCCAGGTGTGGAAACAAACCAGGGTGTCTCCAGCATGCCCTGGACACTCACTGTCACCTCTTACTTTTTCTGCTTTACAGAAGACTTGCCAAGGCTTTGCCCCCTTGCTCAGCCCAAATAGGACTTCAAGATTGGCACTTACTTTGATATTTTTGCAAGTGATATTCTTGTTTTGGTAAATCCCTGACAAAGATCCCTCTAGCGTACCAAGCTTCTTGGCCTGGCATCCGTTTGAAAACTCAGCTTCCACTGAAGGGGTATTAAGGCAACACATACTCTATTGCTCAGGAACGATGGAGGAGAAATAATGCACAGAGAGCCAGCAGGATCAAAGCTAACCTTGCCAAGAACAGCATCCTTGTTTTACCCCACAGGTGATCCATTTTTCACCCATAATCATATCCAAGGACACCATTATCTGAATGCTGAGCTGCTGCAGGCTAAGACATGATGTGGTTTGTGGTGAGTTGCATATGTCATAAATCTTCAGTAGGTCACCTTATTGCATAGTGGGTTGTACCACTTTAGAATCACAAACTTGTATGTCGCCCATGAAGTGTTGATGCTGCTAACAATTTGGGGGACTTCTCTACTGCTTGTAAATGAGCTAATTTTATTGATCATTTCCTGCTTCAAAAAAGATAATCAAATAATTATTTAAAAGTGGGAACATGGCATGGTATTTCATGCCTGGTATCCCAGCACCTAGAAATTTTACACAGAATTAATCATTCAAGGGAACTGGAGTGAAAATTTAATAGTCTTTATTAAAAACCTGAAATAACATCAAAATAGACAACACATATACAATTGATCCAAACTAAGTTGACTCAGTAAGTTATGTCCTAATGTGTATATATAAACATGTATGCATGTATATGTACATATGTATGTCTGTATGTATATATATATATATATATATATGTGTGTGTGTGTATGTATGTGTGTGTGTGTAACAATAAGAAAGTTGATATCATGAAATTGGAAAATGAGACACAGGAGGAATTTACAGGGAGAAAAAGAGTAATGTAAAAAAATATTATTAAGTCTTTCCGTGCGGCGTTTTCCGTCTGTCGGAGCCTGGCTGTTCTCGACCAGCGCTGAGGCCGGCACACCGCAGCCATGACAGAGGCTGATGTGAACCGGAAGTCCTATCCCCTCGCAGATGCCCACCTCACCAAGAAGCTGCTGGACCTTGTTCATCAGTTGTGCAACGACAAGCAGCTTCGGAAAGGAGCCAATGAAGCCACCAAAACCCTCAACAGAGGCATCTCTGAGTTCATCGTGATGGCAGCAGACGCTGAGCCCTTGGAGATCATCCTGCACCTCCCACTGCAAAGTGAAGACAAGAATGTCCCCTATGTATTTGTGTGCTCCAAGCAGGATCTAGGACGGGCCTGTGGGGTCTCCAGACCTGTCATCACCTGTTCTGTTACCATCAAAGAAGGCTCTCGGCTGAAGCAGCAGCTCCAGTCCATCCAGCAGTCTATTGAAAGGCTCCTGGTGTAGGCCTGTGGTTCTGCCCTTCCTGTCTGCTCCCACCCTACTCTGTATCATACCGTCTGTTAGCATGTAGTGTTTTCAGCCAGTTTCTATTATAAATATTGTACTACATCTGGTTTTTGTATTTTTTATATGTCTTACAGGGTTGTTCTGTCCCATCTCTCCATCCTCTACTACCATTTTTTAATCTGTTTCACTTACTCTAAGCGAAATGATATCTAAGGCAGGTGAGAGGCAGAACGGCACAATTTAACAGTGGGAAGAACCAGGAAACACCTAAGCCAAGGATAGCGTCTGCTTCCATCTGCAAACTCACTCCTCTGTGCAGGACAAGATGACAGTAACACTCGTCCCTCACGCCTTTGCATATGAGATCTCCATATATGATACCATGACTGAAGATCTTTCAGCAGCCCCCCCACCCCGCCCGCCGTCATTTGAAGAGAAAGTCTGATAATGTTAAACCTCCGTCCAAGTGCCATTTATTAATGTTGTGTTTTTGATATGTGTAACCTTCTATTCTCACCCCATTCCCTACTGAGGGTATCAAGGCAGTAACAATCAAAGAGATGGTCTGCAGACTCATAGGCGGACTGAGTTTGACTGCCTGGATCTTGAAGAGTGACAAGGAATTCAGTTGGAATAAAGAATACCGGGGCTGGAACTCAGAGCAGAGACAATGCTATCAGGGACATTCTGCCCTTCGTTGAATGGGGATTTCTTGTGGGGCTGTTTGACACCCACTTTGGGAGCCCTATCCCTTTCCCCCCTCAACATGGGTCAAATGTATTCTCTGTCACATGAAGAACGAAAATAATGTTGTTCATTCTTGAGCATCCTAATAAATATGTTCATATTACATTTAAAAAATATTATTAAAATAAAATATAATTTATTGAACTATCTAACTATGCCTGGAAATTTCTGGGTGAGTCCCTCCCCTAGTTTCTGTCTATGTTCTGAAGTGATATTGATCTATGACCCTTAGAATATGATATACATATACACATATATGCACATATACTCACAAACACACATAAGAGGGAGCCAGAGGAAGAGAGAGAGAGAGAGAGAGGTGAATTTCAAACTCAGAGTTTGTTATACGATCAAATCTTGTCTTGCTTCCCCACACACTTCTTTCTTCTGGCTCCAGGATGTAGGAGTAGTGGGCTTTCAGTCCAATTAGATGGCTGTTGGTTATTTTCCAATTCTGTCATTCTGGTTATTACTGTAGGTGATAGGTAGTTCATCTGCATAGGACTATTCATTTTTTGTCTTCATTGGTAGTTTGTGTAACACACTTGGATACCATGACTACTAGTCCTCTGTGAGGAGACTTCCAGGTGAGTTCCAGATGACTGTCCAAATACTATATCTGAAGTATGTGCAATGCCTTCAGTAGTACAGACTTACCTTCAACTTCTGGGAGACCATCAAATACAATGGCAATAACCTATTTTTTTAAGTCTCATGGATTGCTTTATCCAACAGCTTTCTTAACACTGTATTTTGTTAGCTATGATTTGGGGGAACATTCTCACTCCATGTTCACTTAAATTTTAAGTAAATATAAAATAACAATTTCCTATGACTTTCTAAACATCCTTTGTACTATGTATACATCTTTCTCTCTCTCTCCCTTATGTTACCTTTCCTTACCTCCTCCCTACTTAACGTGTTCCCCATCCTGTTTTGTCACTTTCTGTCTTCATCACACCTGTGTCATATCATTCTTCCCTATGCAGCTCATTTTCGCATCGTGCACAGTCAATTTAGACATTCCTCATTTCTGTGGTAAGTCTACAACATATACCAATATCCACAGATTTAGAGTCGGAATGCTCAGCTAAGAGAGGGCATTTGGTGTCTGTCTTTATGGGTCTCATGTAACTCACTTCATATAATATTTTGTAGTTCCACCAGTTTACTTGCAAATGCCACAGTGTATATAATACCCATTAATGAAAGTCTCATAAATTAAATTAAAAGCCTATATTAAGTATTTAAAGGTAATAAACTATATGAGATACCTTAAAATATTTCCAGGGCAGACAATATTGCTTAGCAAGTAAAGGTGCTTTGCATCTGACCCTGGTGACCTTGATCTGATTCCTGATAGATAGAGAATTCACTCTTAAAAGATGTCCTTTAATAGCCACACTTTTATCACACCATGTGCACAATTATTTCTACATGAACATTCACACACATGTACACACAAAAACACATAAATAATTGAAAATGCAACTTTAAAATTAATTTTAATTCAATTATAATTCTACATTCCAACTCATCAGTCCTGCATGCTTGTATACAAGAGCAACAACACTAGATGGACTCAATAGGCATATATATACATACATGGATGCACAGCAATAATCATAGAGAAGACTATGAATCTGAGAGGGAGTTTGGTGCATAGAAAGAGTTACAGTAGGAGAAGTTGGGGTAGAAATGAAAGAAATATAGTACTCGTGAATGGGATTCTTGAAAAAATGAAAAGTTTAATAATATAAATGTTTATTACATGTTTATTTTTTCTTGATTTCCTTATGCTTATAGACACCTGTGCTGATCTGAATAAGAATGACCTTCTAGGCTCTTATATTTGAATGCTTCATTACCAGGCAATGGTACTAGTTGAAGATTAGGATGTGTGACCCTGTTGGAGGAAGTGTGTCACAACAGGCTCAGTTTTTTGCTTTGGCTGTCTGAAGATTCAGATGTGAAACTCTCAGCTACTTCTCCAGCACCATGATTTTCAATGTCCTAGTGAGCACCAGGATAATAATGGACTAAACCGCTGAATTTCGAAGGAAGCACATACTAAGTGCCTTCTTTTGTAAGTGTTCCCATAGTCATGTTGTCTCTTCATATCCACAGAATTCTAAATCTCATAATAAATGACTCACTAGTTGGAAACACAAATAATAATCAAAATGCCCATTTAGTGGGTGGCTAATTTGTCCACTATTCCTCACTCAACACATGTATCCTCCCTCTGATCGCCCTGGTCATGACTGCATTATGCCCTCTGCAGTGTAAGTGAGTCATGAAAGACTGACTGTGCAGGTCTTAGACTCTGGAACCACATTAGTAGTAACTTTAGTACAGCTCACTGGCCCTGGTGACACAGTTGCTTGGGAAGATTACTAAAGATTGGATCCTTTTATTGCCTATCTAAGAGGCAGAGCTCTGGAGCATCTGCACCATTATCTGCAGATCTCGGGGTCTCTGTTTCCTTTTTTACACCATGTGAAACCTTTTTGAGGTAATTATACCAGCTTCTACCACAAGTCCTTACATCGTGTCAGGACTATGAATATGTAAGGTGCTGCAGTAATAAATAAATAAATAAATAAATAAATAAATAAATAAATAAATAAATAAATAAAAAACTTGTGCTACCATTCCTCTGAGTTTATAAGCCCTGGTTGTTTTAGAGACCGCAGTAGAAGAGGGCATAAGAGTCCTATAACTCACATGCTCAACAGAGAGGAAAAAAATGACAATACAGGAATATCTGCAAAAGGCATTCAAGGTGTGCCCCAAACAGAAAACATCTAATTGCTCATTTGTTTTCTAGCTCTAATCTGGGCTCTGTTCCAGAGACACCACTTTAAGGTTGTATTGGACTCCTTAGAACAGCCAGGATGCTGGGGGACAGGAATGAGTTGTGCAAGACACAATCTTAGCTATTCTGTCACTGTTGTACCTTTATCTCTGTTTATTTACCCCACCTGGCATCATAGGGTTCCAGGCATGGATTCATTACATCTGTGTCAACTCCTATATAAGGAAGCTTTGATCTTTGTTTTTTGTTTCCTTGTTTGTGGATTAATTGTTCTTTTGATGTCAAGTTTCTTGAGTCCTTTGTATACTTTGAAGATCAGTCCTCTATCTAGTGTGAGGTTGGTGAAGATCTTTTCCCATTCTGAAGACTGACATTTTGTTTTGTTGACCATGTCCTTTGCTTTACAGAAGCATCTCAGTTTCAGGAAGTCCCATTTATCGATTGTTTCTCTCAGTGTCTGGGGTTATATTTAGGAAATGGTCTCCTGTGCCAATGCGTTGAAGTGTGCTTCCAACTTTTGCTTCCATGAGATTCATTGTGGTTGGTTCTATGTTGAGGTTTTTGATCCATATGGACTTGAGTTTTGTACATGGTGACATATATATGGATCCATTTGCATTCTTGTGTTTTCTAGGCCCCCAATCTCATACTAAAGAACCTGCCCAGAAATTTATTTTCTCAAATAAACCTGTTGCTATGCTTTTTCATTTCGACTTGATATGGCTTACAGCACAGGCAGAGAAATCTAATCTCAGGGGACAGAAAGCCCATCATGTGGAACACATGAAGTTTCTCTATAATCAATGAATTAAAACAAAACACCACAAAAAAAAAACATTTAGAGAAGGTCACAGGATTGTCCCTGCCATGAACCCTTTGACCATGTGACTGTCCCATTCTGAAGACTGACATTTTGTTTTGTTGACCATGTCCTTTGCTTACAGAAGCATCTCAGTTTCAGGAAGTCCCATTCATTTATTGATTGTTTCTCTGTGTCTGGGGTTATATTTAGGAAATGGTCTCCTGTGCCAATGCGTTGAAGTGTGCTTCCACCTTTTGCTTCCATGAGATTCATTGTGGTTGGTTTTATGTTGAGGCATGCAAGTATGGGTATACCTGGTAGATTCAGACTGGATCCCCATGCCCTCCCTGTCACACTGTCAAAAGACAGTGTTGTCAACTGAAGAAGTTCCTGTTATGAGGTCCCTGTACCAGCAGAGGGTGGCAGAGCTGCAGGAAAAACTAACCAGGTCACTTTGGAACCTAGATCCTAGAAGTCAAATGACAAAGTCAAGAGTCTACTCTACTTCCGTCCATTTGCATGCAAAGTTCAAGAAGCCATTGTTTTTTTTACTGCTGAGTATACTCTAATATGTATATATTCCATACTTTCTTCATCCATTCTTCCATTGAGGGGCATCTAGGTTGTTTCCAGGTCCTGACTATTACAAACAATGCTGCTATGAACATAGTTGAGCATATACTTTTGTTGTATGATACTATCCTGAGTGAGGTAAGCCAGACCCGAAAAGAGGAACATGGGATGTACTCACTCATATTTGGTTTCTAGCCATAAATAAAGGATA